GATCGTGTCTGACTCAGCCTGCTTCCCCCGCGACACCCAGTTTCTTGCTGCCATAAAGCCCTTGGCCAAGAGGATGAGGCCCCAGTGTCCTGGGATGGCAGTCAAAGTCCTGGCCCCGTCTCCCTCCATTAGGGCTACCATCCAGCACCTCCAGTCTCTTTATAGCTCCTACCCCCAGCGTGGTTCACACCTCCACGCCCTTGCACAGGCTGTTTCCTCTACCTCAAAAGCCCTTCCTCCTGAGAGCTTCCCCAAAGCATGGGGCGGAAGATGACTTGGGGTGGCTCACAAATGTGCCATTAAATAACACTGGATCCTAGACTGAGGCTATCAGGCTCTCCCAGGTCTCTTCATCAGTTTGTATGGGATAGTCTGGTTTGTGCCTGTTGTCCTGATGTAATTGATGGTACCCACCTCTTCCCCTTCATAACCTCAGATGTGCCATAGTTTAGATGATAAATTACATGGTCACTTTAATCCTTCCAACTGCATGAGAAATAAAGCCTGTGCAGTCCCAGACTTTAACACATCCCCAATGTGTGCTAATTCCTCTCTCTAACAAACGGAGAGGTAGGAAAAGCATCTAGCTAGAAGTTAATAATGGCGCTTTGTTTTCACTGTGGTTGTTTCTTTGGATATCTTCTATTTCAGATAAATGATACTCTTTCCATTTAAGATATGAAACTTATTTTTAATATATTAAATTTTAAAAATGATACGATTGAAAGAGAAATTTCACAGGCTAGTGAATTCCTATTCATTCCTTAAAACCCAACTCCAAATCACCTTTACACTACCGTCCTCCCCTCTCTTACCCTTCCTCTTCCTTTGACATCTGGCAGGGTCACAATCGTACCTATTACACTAAATTATGATGACCCAGCTACTACTTTGTTAGGCATCTACCATGTGCCAGGCACTGAGCACTTACTCTCATCCTCTCACTGAACCCACCCCACAGCTCTGTGGAATAGCTGTCACTACCCTTGCTTTACAGGTGATGAAATAGGGGTGAAGGAACTTATCAACAGTCACTCAGCTAGTCAGTGGTATGGTCCGGAACTGAACCCAGACTGGGCAACTTCAGTCTGTGGCCTTGACCACCACTGTCCTAGTTAGTGCTCTCTCTCCCCCACCAGTGGGCAGACAGTGTGCCCAGCTCACCTCCTATCTTATTCAGAGCCAGCCCTAGGCCTGGCACAAACTCCACTCTGATAAAGACATGAAGATGTGTGTGAGGCATTGGCTGGAACTCAGTCCCTGCTGAGATGTCTGGGGACGTCTGGGCCCCACTCCCCAGCCTATGATAGAGAACACAGAGCTCCCCCAGCACAGACCTGGGCTGGAAGGACCTTCCAGGAAACACCACCACCGTGTGTGCTGGGTCTCCCCGCCCCCACTCTGCCTCCTCACTGCCTGAGCCTCCAACAGGCGGGGAAGGTCCCCACTTCCTGCTGCCAGACCAGGATGGCCAAAAGAGAGCAGCAGGGTCTGAGCGCTGGGAAGGAAATGCCAATCTCAGGACAGGGTTGGGCAAATCAGAGGCAGCCTCCTCGAGGGGACAGGGCTTGAGCAGTGCTTAGAAGGAGGCAGGAGTTCTGGAAAACCAAGGGCAAAGACCATTCCAGGGGAGGAGTCTCGGTTGAAAGCGTCGGGGAAAATTTGAAAGAAGGCTGAAAAGCAGGTGGTAGCTAAGTCCCTGGTGGGCCTTGAACACCAGGCTGAGGACTTTGGGTAACACTGGGGATTTTCTGGGGACTGGATCAGGGAGTGACACACAGATAACTGGGGGTTCTGGGGCCCCAAGATGGGCAGCACCTTGACCAAGTCACAGAGCAGCAGTGGCAGGGTGGGGGTTTGAGCCCACTCTTGCCTCCCAGGAGACCCCAGGTTCACCTGGTGGCCACACCCCAAGGATGGAGCCTGGTGATGGGGAGGGCGAGCCTGCAGCAAGCAGCCAGGGGCAGGCCAATGCCCACAGGGGAGGTAGGGATTGTGGCCAAGGAGAGAGGCGTGCATGAGGTGGGGTTCTTTCTCCCAAGTGTCACTGGGCACAGCCATTCCCACTGCCCAACGCCTCCTCAGGATTAGAGGGTCAGTGGGCAGGAACTGCAGGCTGGCACCAGCTCTCAGGAGCTGAGCCCTGCAGCTGGCACTACCTCTGCAGCCCACCTTCCAACCCTGGCCTCAGCCAGCCTCCGTGTCAGTCCTCCACCAAGCTCCTTCCTGCCTGCCTTTCTTTTCTTCCTTTCCCCCCACTTAACAGATTGCGGCAGCAAGATGGCACAAATTTATGGCTCAACTCACCAAAAATAACAAGAGATCTATCAAAGGCAGTTTGCGTGAAATTAACAGGCGCCTGTACCCTCTCGTCAAACTCACTCGGCTCTGAGGCGTCCCAGGCACTCCGCCCAGTCACTGCCCACCAGCCCCCAGCCCAGTGCTCTTCCGCTACCAGCCCAAGCCCACCCTGCTAGGCCTTGCTGTGGATCCCCCTCAGCGGTGTCCCAGAGTGGATGAACACAGCTTCCCTGCCCTGGTGCCTGGGAGAGGGGCCAGGACAAGGGGCTCACCCTTCGTGTTCACTACCATCCCCACGAAGCTTGCTCTCAGTCTGGCAGCTGCAGGTGCCAGTCCATTCTCCTGCAGCCCAGTGGGGAGGAGACAAGGGAAGGAATGGAGGGGACCAAAGGCTTGGCAAAGGTGGTGCTGCCACAAGGCACAGACGGTGCCACGGACTCTCAGACATGCCCTGACATGTGGAATAAACAGTTATGTGCCCGCTGTGTCTCGCACCAGAAAGGTTGGGCAGGAGGGAGGAGATGGCAGAATAGAAGAACTTCCTGCCTGCCAAGGGAGGGGAAGGGGCTGTGCCAGCCCAGCTCTGGGCACCAGTGTGCCATGTGAGCCCCCTTATGACAGCTGATGCCACACCATCCCATGCCAACTCCCTACAGGGGCCCTCCCTGAAAAGCAACCCCAAGGAAACATGCCAAGTAGGACAAGGGGCAAGAGCAGAGGTCAGGCTTGGGAACAGCTGGGAGCCCTAGCTCAGGGCTCCCTGCTCAAAGAGACACCTGGCCTCATGCCCAGGAATAATCAGGCATCCAATCTCCACCCATCTCTAGCCCCAGAGGCCTCTGCAGAGGCTGATGATGGTGCCTTTCCCATCGCCGGCCCTCTCTGATCCCCAAAGACACCCCAGCTACCAACCAAGTCCTGCTTCCGGCTTCAACCAAGCCCAGCTGGCTGCTCCTGGCTCTGTGCTCCACATGGCAGCCTGCCCAGATGGTGCCCGCCCATGAGGGCAGAGCCTTGCTCCGTCCACTGCAGATCACTGGGCCGATGGACCGCAGGGAAAGCCAGACAAAAGAACCCGCCTGCAGTTGAGCACGATGGGGGAGACCCCCACAGAGTGACAGGCAGTGGTGGCCATGCAGGAAGAGCCATAAACCTCCTGATATACGCCTGGCGTTCTCCGCCGATGTTCAACAAAGAAGCGAAATTCAATTTCTTCCTACAGGCACTAAATCCCAGGCCAGCCTCCAGGGCCTGTAACCTGCCCGCGGCCTGGCTGTCACTCGGACGGCTTCATTGACCGCCGTTAGAGGCCAAGCTAGCCTGGGAGAGAGGCCACAGCAAGGCCACTGGGCACTTGCCGTGGATGGGCACGATGCCAGATGTCTCATTGGAGAGGCCAAGAAGGCCCCCATCCAAAGTACTGGGTCAGGCTACTTTCAAGATAACTACCCCCTCTAATTAATTCAGGGATACCTCCCCATTCTACAAAGAAATCATTGCCCACCATAAATAAAGGGATCAACTCAAGGTAACAGTCAAAGGTAGAGGCCAACTCCAGGGCTCTAGCCAGCAAAGCAGGGCTGGGGACAGGCTGCACTCCTCCAGTGCTCCTAGCAGCCCTCACACGATACTCCGTCTCCTTGTAAACACTCTCCCAGTGAAATCCAGATGCCCTTTCCATCCTCTATCCCTGCATCCTTGTTCCTCATGAGGATAGGCCAGCACCTGTTATACCAAATGGGGAAATTGAGGCCCAGAGAGAGGAGAGGCCTCCCTGTCGGTACCAGAGCTGCAGAACAGACCCCAGACCTGCCTCCTTCCCATCCCCATGTCATCAGTCCCTGTTCCCTTCAGGTCTCCTGGTCAGTCCCCGGCCCAGCACTGTTCAGCGGGCACACAAGATCCAGATGAGGCCCTCAGGCCCTTGAAGCTGCAGGAAGCAGGGTCTGCAGAAGGCAGCCGTGGCTGAGGGAGTTGGGGTGGGAGTGGGAGAAGGCAGGACTCAAGGGCTCGCAGAGCTTTTGCCCAGTCAGCAGGAAGCTCTAGCAGCTGGCGGCCTCAGTCCCAGAAGACATGGGCCCTGAGGGGGGAGACAGGGGACACCGGGAGCTGAGCCAGCCCAACCCTCCAAGGCAGCCTGGAAGCTCAGGCCTCTTCACCTAGGCACACTCTTCCTTGCCTCTCTCTGCCCTGACCCTGGGGCAACTGCCAAAGCTCACTGACCTGTGTGGACAGGAATGCATCCCTGTTCCCTGCCTACTCCAGCCTCCAGGCAAACTTGTCAACTTGCAGCACCAGGGCCTGCCACGATCACTCCCAGCCTTGGGCCTTTGTGCACGCTTCTTCCTCTGCTTACAATGCCCTCATCTCACTTCTGCTTGTCCTTCAGGTCTCTGTTCCTGCATTACTTCCTTCAGGGAGCCTCTCCTGCCTGGCCAGTTAGGAGGTCCCTCCCTGGGTTTATATATCACCCTGCATTATCTGATCTGTGCCCCCATTCTTCTAGCCAGTCTGCAAACTCTTCAAGAGTGAGGTCTCACTGCCATGCATTTTGGTGACTGCAACATTTGGTCAAGGCTCAGCAGAAGGGTGACATCAGTGAACAGCTACATGCATGGCCGAAGATCTGCCAGGAGGAACACCAAGGACACTGTCAGCCCCTGCAGACCCCGCCCCACCCAGGCCCTGCTCAGACTCACCATATCTCATCTCGGTTGTGAATAGATCATTGCTGCTCCCCGAGTGCAAATCGGCCTCAGCAGGTGGGGCTGGGCCCCCGGGCACCAGGGCATTGGACAGGGTGTGGGCAGCAGGAGGGCCTGGAGATGTGGTGGTGGCGGAACCGGCCCCCGCCTCTCCAGGGCAGCTGCAGCCTGGCTGAGCAAAGCCGCAGGCCCTGCCGGCAGCGCGGCCACACTCCTCACTCCAGCGGCAGAGCACACCACAGGTGAACTGGCTGGAGTTGTTGTTGTTGATGAGCAAGACCTCGACAAAGCGGAAGGCTAGGGCAGCAGGCGCCAGCAGGCGCGGGGCCTCGGAGGGCTCAGCCGACAGGCACAGCTGCACAAAGTTCTTGTCGAAGTGCAGGAACGTGAAGGGGCCCGAGCCGCTGCACAGCTCCAACCCCGCTGCCGCCTCCGCCTCCTCCTCCTCTGGCCGCCCCACCTCTGACTCCGCCTGGGCCACTGCCTCCTCGGGGCTAGGCCGCAGGCAGGTAAAGTTGACCAGGTAGTGGTCCAGGGGCAGCAGGCGGGGGGCAAAGTGTGCGCACACCTGCTCCTGGCGGTTGAAGCGCAGGTAGAGGGAGTACTTGGTGGGGTCAGGGTTCTCCAGGGTCCAGGAGCAGCCCGAGGCGATGGTAGGAAAGAGGTCCTGCAGCGAGAAGGCCCCGTAGAGCACACCCGAGGCCAGGGCAGAGCAGGCACTGGGGGCGGGGTCGAAGGCGGCGGCCAGGCGCAGGGACAGAATCACAGACAGTAAGAGGGGACAGGCTGGGGTCATCCTATGTCCCTTGCCCTGTGGAGAGAGACAGTGGTCAGTGGGTCCCCAGCACAGCCAGCATGGGCTCTGAACCTCCTATGGTGAGCTGTGGAGTGGGCCTCATAGTTAAGACCATGGTCTTTGGAGGAGTGTCACCCAGGTCCACCTGTGTGAACTTAGACAAGGGACTTGACCTCTCTGAGCCTCAGTTTCCTTACCTGTAAAATGGACCAATGATAGTACCTATCTCACAGGTTTCCTACAAGGGTAAAATGAGATAAGTAAGGGAAAGGACTCGAGAGAGTACCTGGAATCTTGTGAACCCTGAAGTAGCTGTTGTTGCCATTGTTCTGTTTCCTCAGTCAGCCCATCAACTACAAGCATATTTGCCTGACATTCAGATCCAAGCCCCAGCCCCACCATCCAACCTGTATTCTCCATAACTGTTGCTCTCAGTCCCAGTGTGTCATGATCAGCTGTGAGGCATGTCACACGTAACCTGCGGTAATTGTCAAAGCGGTGATGTTTGACTACGATTTGCTTTTTTATAAATTAGAGCAATTTGAGGTTATTCCTGGAACAATGTCATTCTCACTTGCTTTACTGAGAGGGAGAGAAAGGGGCGGAGTTACAGCCAGTGTGCCAGGAACTGCGCACAACCTGAGCCATGCCCACAGGAGCGCACTGTCAGTGTGGATGTCATGTGCATCACTGCTGTGGATTTCCTGGTTGGAACAAGGGGGAGAGGCACCAAGCAAGGGTACTTTGGGCTTGAGCCCCAACCCAGCCAGCCGCCTGCTAGCTGGGTGACCCTCATGAACCTCAGTTTTCTCGTCCATAAAATGGGAACAGAAATTCCCCCTCTTACTTCCCTCTTTCCCTCCAGCTCCATGGGATTATCTTCCAAGGTCTGGTTCAGGGCCTGCTACCCCCTGCCCTGTGAAGCCACCAGCCAGTCTCGACCTCTCTCCTATACTATTTCCCTAAGACTAGCTCATTCAGCTCATGGGTCTTCCAGTTCCTAAGAGTGGGGACCCGAACTTGTTGATTTCTACCTTCCCTTAAAGTGCTGCACCAAGCTGAGCTCCCAACAGGTGTGAATGTACTCCAGGTGTGGGTGGGCACCTAGGACCCAAGCCCTACCCCTACAGACACACAGAGCAGTCAGGCTAGAGTGGGTGAGGGCTGAGGATGGGGAGAGCTGCAGGTGCCCTCCCACCCATCAGGCCAGGGCTGTGTCACTGCCCACAGCCTGCCCAGCCTCTATCCAACTGCCCAGAAAATGGAACCTAGTGCGTGGTCTGAATCAGCCCCACTTCCAATCCTACCCCCCAAGTAATCCACACGGCCTCCCTCCTCCATGCCACAGGATCGCTCACAGCACTGCACAGGCCCCTAGAGCCCAGTTGGTCCACATCAGAGGAGAAAAGATGGGGCTAGGAAAAGGGAGACAACCCGCTCCAGATCACACAAAGGTGGCCAGAGGGGACTCAAGCCCAGGATCTGAGGCCCAGCCCAGGCCCTTCTTATTCCACCAGTAGCCTCTGCTCCTTCCCTGTGCTTGCTGCTCAGGCTTCAGGCCAGATGGAGCAGCTATTAGCTCTGGGGACTGAATCAGAAACACAAGACAATTCACAGGTACGGCTAGATTTTCCCAAGACACAGTTGCTCCCAGGGAACAGACTTCCCCTTGGGTCTTTAGGAGTATCAACACTGGGCAGAGGGGGGACAGGATTTAGAACCCTAACTTTCCAGTCCCTGTGCAGCAGCCATGGAGCTCCCCACTGCCCCAGATGCCACATCCCCTCGTGCTATACCTCCAAGCCAGGCCCAAGCAAGCATCTGCCCCTCCCAGTCATACAGGGGCTGGGGGAGATGGTGGAGTAGCTCCAGGAAGACCTACTCACTGCAAAGGAGCCACCCCACCCTCCTCCCAAGACCCGCATGGAGTTATTCGGCAGAAGCCAGACAGGCTGTGCCTCTGCCCCCACCCACCCACCCTCCTCCTCAGAGCTGAAAAAGGGATGAGACCTCTGGTCTTTCCCACCCTACATCATGCCTGTCCCAAACTGCTCAGCCCGCCCCACCTGCTGCAGCACTAGCAAAGCCAGCGGCTGATGATGAGTGACATCCAATCCCCCTGCTGCCCCCAATTATTTTTAAGCAGGCTGCAAAATTCAGGCCATGGCTGCTGCTCAGTGGAGGGGAGGTGGGGGCTCATTATAACCGGCCTCCCCTCCCCCACTTACAGCAGCTCAGGGAACCTCCCCTCACACACACACCAACACATGTGGGTTTGAACACCCTTGTGCCCTGAGGACACACCAAAGCATGAGTGCACAGACGTTCACAGGAGTTCTGCATACGAACGGATACATATGCACACGGACATGCAGACAGACAGGTGAAACCCACAGATTCATGCTGTCACGTGCACTCAGGAGTGAACACGCACACACAGGGGTATAGAGGCTCACATGTGTACACATGCACAGAGGTGCACACGCATTCTCAAGTGAGAACATACATGAGTATCTGGCCCTCTGAGGCTCGGCATATGACAGCTAAGTGTCAGGCAGGATCCTGTGCGGGGCCTTCCTTTGCGTGTCTGAAGCTGGGGCTCCCTCCCCTACCCCGCTCCTGGGCTGCTGCGCCCTACTCCACAGCCCCGCCCCATCAAGAAGCACAAGGTCCACATCCTTCACAGCCACAGGCTGGCTTCTCCAGAACGGAGCCACTTTTAACCCAACCCAAACCCCCCTCCCCTCAGTCTCCTTCAGACACCTTCACGCTCATTCTGGGATTTCATCCTGGACATGCGCGACCCTCACTGTGTTGGCTGCGACATAAGACCTTTTGGGGCACCTTTTTATATCACTTCCCATCATTCAAAATAAGGCAAAGACCCAATTCCAAGCTGGGTCACAGACAGCCACTGGTTCATTAAAGACCCTCCTGCCTGTGTGTAGCCAGGCCTGTCCTCCTGGGAGCACTGACAACCCAGAGGCCTCTCCCTGAGCCACCCCGGGAAGGGGACCTAGAAGGATGATCCTTGTCTCACAGGCAGCCCAAGTGGCTCTTAGTCATGATTAACCTCCCTGAGCCTCAGTTTCCCTCTCTGCAATGCAGACCGTGAGCCTTGCCCTCGGGATGGCAGACACCTCATCAGCCTCCCAACAAGTTCCCAACACAGAGCCTGGCCCACAGCCCTGTCTCCTCTCCGTCTATTCAGGACCTCATAAACGCTACCCTCTTGCCTGCTGAGGTACAGGACACTGCCTCTGGGAAGGCTCTTTGGGTTGAACCCTAAGTGGCTTGGCTACCTCCAAACCCAGGAAGACCACAGACCAATCCCTGCACAAGAGTTAGAGAGGAGAGGTACTAAGGTCAGCTCTGAGGAAGAACTTCCTGGGCCAGAGGTGGCTGATAGGAGAATCAAAAGGCCTCCTCCCTCAGAGATGGGTGAGGAGCTAACTGGAGTAGTCTCCCTCTCACCTTTAACCCTACCCAAGACCCCTCCTCTAGGGGGCTGGGGGCTGCCTTCACCACATGCCCCTGACCCTAGCAAGCCCAAGAATCCCACCCTGCCCAAACGCACTCAATCCCCTTTCTTTCAACCCCTCAGGGCTCCCCAGCTTCCCTTCTGCACCAATAAAGGAATTCAAGGCTTTCAGCAGCTGAAAGGGCCAAGGCAAGACTGTGGGGTAAGGGGCAGAGCAGCAAGAGAGGGGTGTCTCAGGGCCAGGGCCGGTCGGGGATTCCCGGGATGACTCCCATTTGACGCTGGGTGGCGGGGGAGGGGCGAGCCGGGGGAGGGGGCGCGGCGATGCGCACATCCGTCGCGTTTATCCACCTGGCAGCTCCAATTCGCCTGCCCGTCACTCACCCTCCGCCTCCCGGGCGCTCGCCGCCCGCCCTGCCCAGGCCGCCACGCAGGCAGGGACCCCCACTCGATGCCTTCGGGTCCTCTGCCAGTGCTCGGACCGGAGGACAGGGTCCTCAGGAGCTGCTCTCCCAGAGCTCTGTTGCCCCGGGGGGCGCACACCCTCCATCCTGCCTCCGGAGCTGGGGGACTGGGCCGAGGGGAGGGCGCGACCCCCTCTGTGCAGCCCTGCCGCTCCAACTGCCAGAGAGGGTCGCTCTCTTGGGGAAGGGGGTTCCTCCTTAAGCAGGAAAACGCGGGCAGAACCGGGAGGGGGACAAGGGGCAGCCCTCAGCCCCTGGGGGCGGTGCCGCGCGGGCGGCGGGGGAGGGGGCGGTGACTCAGCCGCCCTCCGCCCGCCTCCCCGGAACTTTGCAGCAGCTGGAGCCGCCGTTGCTACAGGAACCGAATGCTTTTGTTCCCCAATGTCAGGGCTGCCGGGGCAGGCGGGTGACGAGGAGGCTGCCACTCCCCAGTGGGACCCAGGTCCGGCCACACTGCCCAGAGGACTTCCAGCCATCACAGGTTCGAGTCCCCTTCCTCCGCGCCACCTTCCCTTCCCCCAAGCCACTTAGGCCAAAGCCAGGTTTCTTCAAACTCCTCAGGCCCTCAGGCCCGGTGGCCCTGCTAACTCTGACCCGCTGACCCGAGGCGAAGGGCCCTGGGAAATTCCTGACGGTGTCTGACCTCCTGGGGGAGGGTAGAGGCTCTTCTATGGCTGAGTGATTTCCCACCTGGCTACCCCCAACAGGCTGCCTGCCTTCTGGGACTCTGACTGGGGTTTCTTCTCTGTACTTCTCCCACCTCTGCAGCCTCTACACTTGAACCAAGACCCCAGAGACCTTGGCCTGGCTTTCACTAATATCCCTCTGGCCACAGCTGATTCCAGAGAAATATAGTGGGAAGTTGCAGGACCAAGGAGGAGATGAGGGAAACTGACAGTCACTGGCACCCCTGCACCCATACTTTGGGGGGGAGGAGGGGACTGGGGGCTAAAGGTGTTTCTGTCTTTATTATACTGGGGGTTGGAGTGAAGGCACTGGAACCTATTTTTCATTTTTCTCTTTTGGGATTAGGAGTGGAGTGGAGAGGGCCCTGACCTTGGCCTTGAACAGAAACAGCCCCACACCCCTATCATTATTGAACATTGCTAGGTGCCAGACACTCTATACAAACAACCTAACTTCATTCTCCCAACAGCTATATGAGGCAGTGATCAATGACCCATTTTATAGACGGTCAATTGAGGCTCAGAAAGATTAAGTAGCTTGCCCATGTCACACAGCTTTTGAACATAGGTTGTCTGACTGAAAGCTGAGTTCCTAACTACTTACTCAGCTTCATTACCTGGGGGTGGGGAGGGAGGGAGGGATGGGGGCAGAGACCAGATGGAACCTCACTTTGTGTTACAGAAATGCAGACCACGCACGCACACCCCAGACTAGACATGTCCTTTTGAAGAGTGATACAGAAAGGGGGCAGAAGAGAGAGAGGAAGGAGGAGAGAGGGAAGAAGAGGGGAAGATCTCTTCTCTCAATCTTGGTCCAGAGAAGACCCTCCCTAACCTCCCCAGTACCATCACCAGGACATATCCTGCACAGAGTCCACACTGCCCCTCACCCCAGTAGCAGTGCAGAGGATACTCCCCAGGTGCTTGCTCTGTCCCAGGGTCAGGTGGATTCCCCCACAACCGACTCCATGCACAAGCGAGGCACAGCCCACCTTTGCCCCCAGCCCTCACCTCATGGGAAATGCCATGGGGTAGAGGCTCCCTGGCAACACCTTACCAAGCACAAACAAGCCCAACCAGGCGTCCTGGAGCCCGCGGCCAATCCTGCTGGTCTGTGCGTGAAGGCTCAAAGGACTCTTGACTTGCTGCTGGGGTGAGCCCTCCACTCCACCCCAACCCATCCCACCCGCCAGAACATATGGCCTGACAACCAGCAGTGTTTGGGCATGGCTAGCACAAGGAGGCACCTGGCCTGGCCCACCAATCTCCTCTCCCCAGGGACTTCCCAGCGTCAGTCCTGCAGCCACCGCTGATGCTCTGGCTGCGGAAACCCGGGGTTGCCCACGGGAGAAGGGGTGGCGGGTCCCAGGCTTCGGGCAGGGGGCGCCAGAGGACGCCCAGGGGCCCGGCCGGCAGCTGGCGAGGCGGGCAGGCAGGCGGCATCTCTCGGCCCGGGCGCCCCTCCCCCCCCGCGGACAACAGACCCGTCGCCCGCTCTGCGCGGGCCGTGGCGCGGAGGACTTCCCCCGGCTGTACCCTCGGACCGAGCTGACTGCGGGAGTGGCCGCCAACTTCACAGCTTACAACCCCCTCCGGATCATGCCGGCCCTGGGGCTGCGGGAGGGTGCGTCTGGTGCCCAGCTCTATGACCAGGGGTGGGAGGATAGGGATGGGGGATGGACAGATAGACTCCGGCCAAAGATGGACACAGGAGTCAGGGATGCGGGTCCAGTCGGGATCTCAGCTGGAGGGGAGGGGGCGCGGAGCAGACACGGGGGACACGGCCCCAATTTCAAGCTGGGGGGAGGGGACTTGCAGCAAGATTGGCGAGGGAAGGCGGGACTCCGGGCAGATATGGGGGAGGGGGCACTAGGGGCAGAAATAGAGAAGAAGCATGGTCAGGGTACGGGCGCGGGGGAGGGTAGAAACTATGGGCAGATATGGATGGGGACAGGAAAGACTCCGGGCAGAGATGAAGTGGAGGAGAGGAGCAGCGTCCGGCATTCAGACTGTGATGGGAGATGGAGGGGGAGACACAGTTGAGCCGCAGGTTAATGTGGGGGGGGCCTCTAATAAAGGTGGGGGGCGCACCGCCCGGATCCAGGCCGAGATAGGGAAAGACTCGAGACAGCAACCACGGTCTGTGTCAGAATTCTGGAGGGGGAGACTTTAGCATAGATGGGTAAGAGGGTCGGTCCAGGCTGGGGGAGGGGGGGCCGAGATTAGAGATTCACCAGCGATTAAGGGGGCCTCGGCCCCAGGTTTGGGAGTTCCCCAGAAGATGGGGGTGGGCGAACGCTGAACGAACTCAGTTCGGGCTAGGGGAGAATTCAGCAGAGACGGGTTGGGAGAGCGCCCCGAGTCCGGGCCGGTGCGGAAACTCGGGACCGCGCCGGGAGGGCTCGGTGCGAGGCCAGGTCGGGGTCTGGGGCCGAGCACTCACCTAGGCGCCGTCAGCAGCAGGAGCGGGGGCCGGCGCTGGCGGGGGCGGCCACGGGGCGCAAGTTTGCCATCCCTAAGTCGGGGACCGGGCCGGGCGCAGGGCAGGTAGCTGCAGCCGCGCGGAGGGCCGAGGCTCCCGCTCTCCCGGGCAGCGGGTGCAGAAAAGGCGCCGTGGAGCAGCGCGGGGCGGGCGGGCGGGCGCCGGGCCGGGCGCGGGCTGCTGCCGCCGCCGCCGCCGCCGCCTCCTTGCCGCGCCGCCCCCCGCTCCCCCGCCCCGAGCACCGCCCGC